GCACCAAAAAAAAAATAAATAAATAAAAACCACAAGGGGAAGGGGCTGACTTTTGTACAGTGTTGCTTTGACAGTGGAGCAACATTGCAAATCAGGGCAAAACTAACTATTATGTTAATCGAAATGCTGTCCATTTGAGGGGAGGTAACTTGCCAAGGCTGTCAGTATGGGATTTGGACCTACATTCATGGCTAAACTTACTGCCTCACTGTCTGAAGATAAAGCCCCAAAATTTCTTGCCACAAAGTCCTTGATCCAGAGTTTATCGGGCAGCTAAAACAACATTGGAAAACTAAGGAATGACAATCTGTAGGCCTATAGTAAACATGTCAAGCAGTATTATTCTGACGGAAAATTTCACTCTAATTCCAGTAAAATTTGGCCCACATTAGGGACGAATACGCCCAAGTGTCTGTATGATGGTATTTTAACCAAGCTGGATAAAAGTTTGAAGTCCCATTTCTGTATGACTAAATTTTGCACATTTCTATAAGGAAGAGTTTCACAGGTCTCCTGTGTATTGTGAATTAATAACTTTGAAATTAAGCCAACAGAATGTAACGCAACCAAATCTATGTGCGGAAGATAAGTCTGATACAGTGCATATCATGTTGATGTAGGTGTGACAAGTTCCTGTGATTATTTTATGTTTCGTAACAAGGTTCCTTGATCAATCTCCTTGTGAAACTCGCAATTAAAGAGCACCTCTAACGGAAACACGTTTGCTCTGATTTTATCTGTTCAAATAAATATGGAAGCGTCCAAATCGAATGCAATGTCATTTGTCTTCAGAGCTCAACTATAACAAGCTTGAAAGGTCTTTTTTCTGTTCATGCCAAGATGTAGATTTCGTCATTCTGAGAAATCAGATCGCAGTGGATAAACCCTTGTGCATGCCAAACAATGTCAACCTGCATCATTTGGCATGCGTAGGGTTTGTCTACTACGAACATAGGGCGAGGGTTCCCCTCATTTTCTTAGAATGACGCAATCTACATTCAGAATTCGCATCTTGGCATGAACCGAAAAAACCCGTGAAGTTTGTTATAGTTGAGCTTGGAGACAAATGACACTGCATTCAATTTGGATGCTTCCATATTTATTTGAACAGATAAAATCAGAGAAAACGTGTTCTCCTTTGAGGTGCTCTTTAAGTGAAACCCACATGGCAATGGATAAATACGTGTACTTGAAATGCTTTAAACATTGTGATTAGTTTGTATTTCTAAAGGAAAACTATAAGAACGTGGGCACTTTATTTACTTTAAACACACAAAAAAGCTAGACCACAACAAAATTTCGAGTCATCGCACTATGTATGTTTACTGGGCCAAAGCCGAACCTAAAAATACCTTGCGAGTGGTCTGGTTAATCCAGGTCCCAATTCATCGACAAACTAAACTCCTTTCCTTCCACATAAACTAGACAATCTGTAAGTTTACAGTCGGTTAATTGAAAGTCTACTTTATTAGTCGTGTGAATTAAGTCAACCAGTTATTCACATAATGCATCGCAGATTGTCTGACCGTTTCTGGAGCTTTGAATTTAAGTGGTTTGTTTGGTGGAACATTAAGCCGACATACATATCATGTACACCCTTTCCATACAAATCAGCTCTGTAGAATTGCGCAAAATCGAACAAGCAGTATTCAGTCGCTCTGGTTTACGTTGTTTCTTGTTTCACCAATAGTTCCATGGTTTCACCAGATTAGACATTTCCGCTTTCTCTTATCTCCTGTACGTATCTGGCCTATTGTCAATGTTGTTTGTAAAAACTTTGCCAAGCTCTGCACATACTTGAAATAAAAGTTTTTAATGAAAGTTTTGTAGCTTTGCTCTACTCTGTAACACAAGAAATAAAACCAGATTACTTTTTGGTAAAACAACAAGGGATGTCTTTGCTGTTTTATTATTTTCAACACGACACACATCGTGGTTTTAACTTTTATCGGAAACTGCCATTCAGATCATAAACGAAAAGCTGTCGAATTGGGATATCATCCTTAATCTAACACTCGAAATATGCGTCTGTACATTACGGAAGTGTATAAGGGAGAGGCAGTATCTCGATTTTTTTTTTGCAAGTGGACCTTATACGCCTCCGTAGTACATAATGTACAAGGTCGTAAATAAATTTAGAACCGTTTGAAACTAAAGTGTAAGCGTTGGCGCGATTCTGTGCTGGAAATTGGGGGATGGAAGTTGGTGGGGAAATGACATGAAAGTTTGAAAAGCTGGGGAGGCTGACTTAATATGACTCTAATAAAGTTCGATGTTCATGATATTAATGTACATCTGTAGTTATGTATTCAGAGTGACATATTTAACAGCCTGTGTGAGCAGTACTTTTAAAGAAACCTTTTTTTGCATACACAAAGAACAGAATATTAGCTGTTCCCTTTTCCCTATTTGGTGCAAAATTTCCTGTGCTGGGACTCTCAAACTCATTTATAAGCCACAACAATTAAAACAGCCATACGTATGCAAATTATTTCCAAAATTACACAAGCACGTTTGGTTATCAGAGTAAAAAATGAGCTACCGAGCGACTGAGAAGAGAGTTTCTCCACTCCACTATCAATTCCCCTAACGACACCAAAATGATATGCAGAGCTGTGAATGAGTGAACAACATGGAAACCCAACACAACTAAATTCCAATCTGAGGAAGGATGGAGGAGCTGTCAAGCAGATAA